TTATGTATAAATGTTCTTAACCAGTATATGTGTGATCAGATTGTTCGAAATGTATTGGGCTAATATATAAATCACATAGTTCTGATAATCTTCGTCTTCTTATTACATTATCGAAATTCATCAAAGGGACAAATTACTTTAAATACATTATCACCCAACTTCTATCTTTTTCTAAAACTTTGAGTGGAATCATTGAATATAAGTTTAAAGTTTAGAATTTATACGATAACAGTATTGTAAAGTGGAGGGGAAAAAGTGTAGTTTATAAATTGGTAAATGTCACTATTTTCATAGGAACATTAGTTGAAACTACCTATTTATCTAGACTGGATTTATTCTCCATAAGGAAGTACATCAATCAATTTGAAACAAGAATGAATTTTGATTTTCAAAAAGTAAAATAGTTGAACATTAAAATAGTTTATCATTTATTCTGTTCTGACGTAATATAGATATTAGAAATAATGTAGATCTTTGTAGAAAATGTTTGCTACATACTTGTAGGGATCAATAAGTGAAAATCTTATACAAAGGTGTGATATTTTAATTTGGTTTGCAAGAAAATGAATAAAAATTACCTACCAGCCTCGCGCAAGAACGCTTAACCACAAAACCTCTTCTGGTTATAATCATATGCTCACTAGTGACTGACTTCAAGAGATATTTCCTGGAGTTCTAGTGAGAAGCAGTGACCAGTGGAGTTCAACCACGTCTATTGTGATATATCAACTCACCGAAGACATTGGGGAAATGGTTAACTTCGTGGATTGGTTGAAGTTAGACGTTAGCACCATCGGATGCCGGCTCAATGGTCTCATGGTCAAGCGCTCATGCGCAAGCCTGGTAGGTCCTGGGTTCGAATCTCGAGAGGTGGGATCTTGGGTGCCTACTGCTGAGGAGTCCCACAATAGGACGAAACGGCCGTTCAGTGCTTCCAGGTTTTCCATGGTGGTCTAGCTTCAACTGACTCATGATTTCAACTATGAAATATTACACTATTTCATTCCAAGCTAAAGGATAGTTTTAATGACTTTAGTAATGTTTTCATGTATATCGTCTTACTTATCGAATTCTAGCTAAGCAGTTTTAAAATATTTTTTATACAATTAGCAATGAACTTATTACATTAAATTCTTTACGCCTCTGTCCAAATGGGTAATCAATAAGTGTAAGGACTAATTTATTTATTTATTATTAATGGCTTTATTCAATATTATATTTTGGTACAATATAGAATTCTCAGCACGAGGTATTTCAACAAATCTTTTTTTTTACAAAAACAACAAAAAAAGAAAAGAAAAAGGGTGGAAAAAAGATATGAATCCGTACAACATTTTAATTAGAGACCTATTCAAGAATACAATTTACTGACTAGGTCAACTCTAACAACCTGATGTACGTACGTACGAAGTTCTACGTTGTGACTGAACAACCTGTTCGTCATAGGGTATATTTGCTAGGTAAGGTATTATAGAACTTTTATACATTTGCTTGTGTGCATGAATTTTAATGTATTGACATCTCGTTCTACCAGAAGATATATAAGGAGAAAGATGTGAATGAAGTGGATGGTTAGTATCTGAAAAGATAACACGTGCCAGGAGTTTGCAAGACTTAAGATGTCTATCCACAACCATATTAATAATGACCTCAAAAGATTCACCACACACCTTGCTAATTGCCTTCAGCACTCTCCACAGTGCAGCAAAGTCTTTTCTCGAAAGCCCGGGAAAGAATAATGGAGAATAGTAAAGAATAATAGGTAATATGCAGGAATTGATGAGTTGTAAAAGTAAATGTCGAATAATCGCAGAAGCATGCAGCTTCTTTATGTAGTAAGTACGATGGTAAACGTTTTTCGATAACAGTAATACATGAGAAGACCGAGAGAGATCACAGGAGAATGTAACACCAAGATAATTAACATTCGACACATTGTTTATCAAAGAGTCTCCAATGGAACAATTATTATGGGATCCTAACATGGTGTTTAGATGCTGTTCATTCTTATCACCTGTACCTTTTTAGGTATAGGGATTATCTTTATCTTTCTCCACATTTTCGGCATGAGATTAGTTGAGAAGGATCTGTTAAAGATACTCTTGAATGAATAACATAGAACGTAAGCACACTTTGTTATGACTCGTAGGTTGAATGCTTTATTCGGATCCTAGCTATTCGGATAACCCCAGGCTAGCACTACTCAGCGACTTGAAAGACCAGAGAGAAGACACGAGTATCAGAGAAACACTTTACTACAAGGTTCATTTATGTACAGAAAAACCAGGGGTTTTATAGTAATTAAAAAGACATTGAGATTCCATAGTAGCAGTATGTTTAACAGCCAATCAGGACCTCATTATTTTAGTAGCATAGCTTCTAACTAATCGCTGATTGGTTGGGCTCTTTATGAGCCTCTCTGGAGGCTCTGATAGAGTTTATTGTAAGCCGACCTAACAACTTTTGAAAAAGTGGGTTCGGAATACCATCAAGCGCTAAACATTGAGATGAATAAGGTGATTGGAGACGTTTTCGGACATCATTTTCAGTGAAACTAGGAACACAATTATTCTTCAGACCCTTGGATATAGGGAGCATAATATCAGGTGACTGACGTACAAAAGACTTATTAAAGTTACAAACATTCAGCTGGTTATAGCTTCTAATCTTTCTGTCCCCTGTAATTTCTTTAAAGAGTTTCCATATACTTGGAGAGTTTTTACAAGATAGGAGTTTCTGAGTAAACATGGAGTTGAGACAACTAATCTCTAGGTTTATTTGACCATTTAGCTTGCGAACTTCAATAGAATTTTTCTCTTTGTACACTCTTTCTTTTACCCTCCGTAGTCGTTTTAGTTGTGGAGATGTAAGTCGATCAATTTGTATTTATTCAAGTGTTTTGGACGGCATCTTAAAGTTAGACAGTCATTTGAAAACTTGAAATATCCAAAAGTAGATCGACGTCAGTTAACGTTTACAAACTTAGCTACACCGCCGCTACACCTCTTTTTTTGCTTGATCGATTCTAACCATAGATATTGAAATCACGTATTAATACTAAGCAAGTTAACCGAGATTCATGAATAGTGATCACACCACAACTACGATACATGTTTTGACTTTATAGGAATAGAATATAGTTCACCTTGTTAAATAGTGATCGGCAGTTAGGATTTAGCAGCTCAGGGATCGACATACGACTAATGTTCATTCTCTTCGATGCATAGTATGAAGATAAAGTAAAACGATTATAACTTTAGTGAAAATAAAAATGTAATAAATTTATAAATCGTTCAAGGTAGAATAAAAGTACAAATACTTGAACTGTTATTTGTGCGTGATTTACAAAAATCCTCAGTTTTGAAGACGTTGTTATCAGTGAGTTGAACAATTCAGTCGTACGGTGATATGCTTGAAGCTAAATCGATTCCGCGGTAACGAACGAAAGCCAATGACACAATGACACGATAAGCTATTCTAATCTGTTGTCCCAGGCCCCGCTAACTAGATGAAGAAGTCCAAGGCAAGTAGGGGAATATATATGTATTCCGTAAGCAGCCGAGTACAAGCAATCGAATAAGGGAAAAAGTCAAGCGCGTTTGTACAGCAACAATTTGTCCTTGAGCATCATTAGTAAATAGCACACACAAAGGAACAATGGACCAATAGCGTCTAAGAGAGTTTACAAGTGGGAAATATGACGTGAAGGTAAAAAGAGCGCGTTTGGCGCGAAAACAGCTAAATTCAAATTTTCAAAATAAAATTACAAAACTAAGCCATTTATCAAGTAAGTTCTGGGGATTTGACATCCCTCCGACGTTGTTATCAGTGAGTTGAACAATTCAGTCGTACGGTGTTCGCCATCTTTAAAGACATACTATAAAGAGAATTGAGCTGTTGAAAATTCTATAAAATTCTTATAATCAAGAAATGAGTCAATAAATAGAATATTTTCGTAGAACAAGAAAAATGTTATAATCTCAAAAAGTTATCTGAATGACACATTCTGTACAGTTATCTGTTTTCGTAGAATTAAACAAAATTGCTAGTTTATTGGCATTTAATTAAATTCTATCATATGTTACCTCTTAAATCCAAACACATTAGTTAATATATTACTATATATATATATTCAAAGTCGATTAAAAGGATTTCCAGAGTGGTCCAGCTTAAATGGATTAATTAATCCAACCATTAAATTGTTACAATTTTCACAAACCCTTATTTTAATAATAATGATCATAAGTTCACTAGTAACTGGCTTCAAGGTGTGTTTCCTGTATTTCTGATGTAAAGACATGACCAGTGGAGTCAAACCATGTCTGTTGAGGCAGTTACTCATTGGAGACAATGGTGGATGGTCACGCAATATCATGGATTGGTTGAAGTTAGACATTAACACCATCGGATGTCGGTTCAGTGGTTTGGAGGCTAGATGTTCGAGAGCGAGACTAAAGGCCTTGGTTTCGATTCTCACGTGAGGTATCGTGGGTGTACTAAGACAAAATAGCCGTGGTGGTCTAGATTTAATCGTTTCATCAATCCAACCATTAAATTACTACAATTTCTACAAACTCTCATTCTGACAATTAACTATTTAATTAATGGACGCAAAAATAATGAGAAAATCTACTTTGTTTAATACAAGTTAAATTCTGAATTTTACCCAATATCATTATATAAATAAATAGATAGTTCTGCGAAAAATAAAATCCTTGGATCATAAATTATACGTCCGAATATTGTCAAACTAGTTCAAAGTCAACCAATTCCTCAATAAAGGGATAATGACAATTGATTTTGGTGCTCTTTAGTATTTTTAAAATTGATCAAGGTCATTTGATCGATTAACTGCTCATTGATTGGCTAAAAAAGATTTAATATTATTTCTACACTAAAAGATGATTGGTTTAATTTTCTAAATGTGTATGTGAACATTTATTTGCTTTCAATTTTATCGTTCTTTGATTGGTTTATATAATAAGTTAAAGGGCAATTTTATCCATTTAAAAATTTGAATATAAATAAAAATTATATTTTTAGTATGATTTTAAACAATTTTGGTGGATATAATTTGTTATAATTCAGAGTTCATTATTGCTATAACTACTATTATAACTACCTGATAACCGTTTAATATACTTACTACATTGCTACATAATAAGATAACTTCCAAAAGTGTTTATATTATTTGAAAATTTACTGTAATTATATAACGACCCAATTAACAACCAGATGATCACAAGTAATCAAAAGCTTTAGATTATCTATTCAGTAATACATTCATATATACTATAGAATTAATATTATCTAAATCTTTCATTATTTACCTCGGTGTGAATTACCAAATAAATTAACTGTTGATAATAATCACATGGAAGATCCTAGTAAATCATTTAAATCAGAAGATAATTTGGGTAATCTTGCTTCATGGAGTACAATAACACAAACTACATCACAAACTATAACAAAACGAGATCGATGGAAAGGAAAAATTGATTTTCTTATAGCATGTATGGGATTTTCTATTGGTTTGGGTAATGTATGGAGATTTCCTTATTTGTGCTATAAAAATGGTGGAGGTAAATTCATAAAATATTTTTTATAATGATTGTGATAATATGGTGAAGTTTATCATTCATTGAACCTAGTTGAAGTAAAACCGCATTAACGGTGCTAATTAGAATTCTCTTATATTCGAAAGTTTTAATTTGAAGGTATAATAACACTGAAAACTAGAAAAGTAGTATATTGGTAAACATTTGGAAAATCTGTTATATACAAGTAAATTAGAAGACTGAATGGTGAAGCCAAAATGACACTGAAATATATTTTTTTTACATAATTTACAAATGTTTGGGTAGTTTAATTTAATCATTTTGAATATTTCAACAAATCTTTACCATGTGATGTTTTCTGAATATGAATGTTGTTGTTTTACTTATCACTTAGTAACTGGATTAAATGGTTCATTAAAATTCAGAAAAATAACTGATTATCTATTTTTAAAATAATTCACACAAGGTCCCATAATTTAATTCATTTGAGTATTATTTCAATATTACACCTTAGAAATATTATGTACGAAGTTATTATATGTTTCAGGAACTGCATGTTTGTTGAATACAGTAGTAAAATAAGACATGTAGAGATGTAGTCCACATAGAGCTTTAGAAAACCTGATTGTATAGTAAGTTATCAGTCACAAGCAGCCAAAGCTTTGTTCTCTAACTTTAAATGTTGATTAAAACTCATCTATCGAATATGTAAAAGGTATTTTCTGCCCGTAAGACGTACATCCCTGAGAATTACGAAAATGTTTAAGTTTTTTTCAATACATGACCATGACTTAATTGAAAGCATTTCACATTTTTGGTGTACCTGTCGGACTAGCAGCGTTAAAATTAGGGCTGAAGTACTGGATACAGTGGAGGTCAATACTAAGTAAATTGGGATATGACATTATGACATAAAGTAACTGACCATTGAAAAATACCGTCTTGTGTGATACCGGGATCCTCACTAAGGTTTATTCATTAACCGTAAACTGTGGTTGAGATAATGTGATTTGGATGAAATCTAGATGGTGAACTTGAATTCATTCATTATCTTACTACTTTAATTCGTTCTTCTCGAAATATATTCTTATTGATTTGATGCTTCTTACTGTTGATATTATATTCTCTATTTTTTAAATTCTCATATGATTGACTTCCTTCATTCAATGTGCCGATGTGATGTTCAGTAATTTCAACCAGTAACCATTTGTATTAGGTCTTACATTATTTAATATTGACTAAATGATCACTGTTTACAGATTCCATAGTGACAAATTAAACCAAATAATTGTTTTGTAAGCAAAGATGGATAGTGGCCAGCAGTGGAATCCAGGATGCAAAAACGCCAACAAAATTAATGTTTATAATCAAGGATAGACGGTTGTTAGTATTGAAATTCAGGACGCGCGTTTCGTCCTGTTTGAAGCTCAGTAGCTGAGTGGATAACGCGATGGCGTTTGAAGCGAATGACACTGGGTTCGAGTCCCAGAGTGAACATCAACTCTGAAATGTAGGTACACCCAGCTGACGAGTCCCAGTAGGACGAAACGTGCGTCCTGGATTCCACTGCTAGCCACTAACCATCATTGCTTATAATGCTTGTGAAATAAGGCTATATCGAGGCAATAAGCACAGTGTGCACATATGCCAATTAGAGATTGACCAGTTTCAGTCCTAAACATCAATGGGAAGATTTAAAGAAGTAATACTCGGGTGACATGGCTCAGAATCGATCACAATGGCGTAGGTGTATACACTATTTATCTTCCCTTAAACCTTGAGATTAAAATTGCTTCATAACTTTCTTCCTTCATGTACTATATCCTTATATACAACCTATAATTTATATACTACCACCACCACTAAATTAACTACTATGAATCCGGTGTTGATCTTGTTGTGCTAACGAGGTATGGCAACTTGGACCGATGCATATATGTGCCTGGTCCTACATTGTAGCTGACTGACTGACCCAGTGAATTCAAATAATTATTTGTTGAGTTTGGTAGAAATTTTCATATTTACAAAATACTCACTGTATTATGATCTTTTTTTCACAAACATTTTTTAAATGATAAATTTAATTAACCAAACTACTTATTATTAAACTCATTAAAGATGTTATTTGTAATGTATAGATGAACTGAAGTAAAGCTTTCATTATATTAATCTACATTTAACTTTTATAATTAGACAGATTTTATAAATCAATAGTTTCAAGCATTTAGAACCAAATTGAAAGAAAAGAAGGTAGAACATACTTACACATAAATAATTCAAAGATAGTTTAAATTATTAAGTATATAAATATAATTAGAATTTCTAAGGTGTTTGGTGTTATGAACATTCTTGTCCATATCAAGTTTATGAACTTTCAGACAAGACTGAATACTTCAGGAACTTAATGAACTAATTATTCCTTCTCATTAAACACAGTAAAGTTTTTATTCATAAAAAAGTATATTGTCTTATTCATGATTAAAGTTATAAAGTTTACTTGGTTTAATATGTGGATTATTAAAAATTTTAATATAATGACGACTGAACCTTTATCGTTTGTGTATGATTATATTAATAGTAGGGAATGTATGGTAGATATGATATTGTCCTGAATGTTCGTACAACATCTTTGAAACATATTAAGTAAGCATTTGTAGACTTTGTACTTGGCGCTCAAATACTATGAAACTATTCAATCAAATTAAGATGGAAGTTCTCATCATATATTTGTACTGATTCTGTATAAATTATTCTGGTAAAACATATGAAATACTGTTACATATTATATAGGTTCTCCAAAATATGTTCTACTTGGATCATTTTTGATATAGAGTGTACACATGAAGTCTACTGCATTTTTTAACTGCTTTTTAGTTAAACAATGGTTATGTAATATTCACATAAGGAATTTCTTAATTGCTGGAAAATAAAAAATAATATTATTACTATTTGTGAAAGCAGAAATCAAGAAAACATCTCTTATCATGCTGCAGTTATGATTGCTATAGTGATAATCATCTTTTAACAGAACAAGAAGTCTAGTATTTACACTTATTACTGACTTCAAACAACTCGTTCATTATAATCATCATTACTTACATTGTTAAATAAGTAATAGTTGATAGGAGCATATCATCAGTAACTAGACATTTAATCTTCGGTTAAGTTTTTTCAATAATGTATTAACATTTGACTAAATGGATAACATACACTCCGTCTGTAGCTATTCTAGAGTTACTGCCGGTTCCAAGCCCGGGTAAAGGTGAAGGGTTGAGCATAGAGTTAGCGACCCCATCCCGTAGAAAAGCTAACTCGCTAAAAAAACGCTAACCAGAAAAAATAATTCAAACCATTTAAACTCTGCCCTGAGAGTTGAAGGAAGAATTATGACGTCTCATGATGAAAGCCGAAATTTTTCGGAAGTCACGAGGCCGATGCTCCTTCTCCCAACCAGAGCAACACTCTTTATAGGTACATGGGACGTCCGAACAATGTGGGAAACAGGAAAGACCAGTCAAATAGCAATGGAAATGAGGGGATACAAATTGGCAGTACTCGGAATCAGCGAAACCCATTGGACACAATCTGGACAACAAAGGCTAAATACGAGAGAGATGCCGCTGTACTACAGTCATGGAGAGGAAAATGCTCTACACACTCAGGGAGTTGCTCTAATGCTGTCCAGAGAAGCAAAAAATACACTTGTTGGATGGGAATCTCATGGATCCAGGATAATCAAAGCATCATTCAATACAAAGAAGGAGGGAATCACAATGAATGTTATCCAATGTTATGCAGAATACTTTGAGGAACTGCTGAATAGGCTATCTCAGTTGAATCCACCGGACGTCGAAGCAGCACACACAGAACTTCCTACCAATGTCACTCAACCAACGATCGAAGAAATCAAGATGGCCATCAGACAAATGAAGAGCGCGAAAGCGGCAGGACCTGACAATATACGAGCTAAAGCACTGACGTCAGACATTGAAGTAACCGCAAACATGCTTCAACCTCTATTCAAGAAGATTTGAGAGGAGGAACAAGTGCCACTGACAGACTGGAAAGAAGGATACCACATCAAGATACCAAAGAAAGGAGATTTGAGCAAATGTGAGAACTACAAAAGCACCAAACTACAGTCAGTACCAGGAAAAGTTTTCAACAGAGTGTTGCTGAACCAGATGAAAGACGTAGTAGACACCCGATTTCGAGATCAACAGGCTGGATTCCTTAAGGATCGGTCGTGCACACACCGAATTGCGACACTACGGATCATCGTTAAACAATCAATTGAGTGGAACGCGTCGCTACACATAACTTCATTGACTATGAGAAGATATTTGACAGTTTGGACAGAACATTATGGAAACCTCTTCGACACTATAGTGTGAGCAGCTAAGAAGATTGTCAAAATTATCCGGAACTCATACAACGGACTACAGTGCAAAGTGGTGCATTGAGGACAGCTGAAAGATGCATTTCCAATAAGGAGCGGAGTCAGACAAGACTGTCTACTCTCCCCATCCTCTTTCTTCTGGTGACTGACTGGATTATGAAGACCTCGACATCTGACAGGAAGCACGGAATACAATCGACATCTCAGAAAAAATTAGATGATTTGGATTTCGCAGATGATCTAGCCCTCCTCTCTCATACACACGACCAAATGCAGATGAAGACAGCAAATGTAGCAGCAGCCTCCGCATCGATAGGTCTCCACATTCACAAAGAAAAACGCAAGATTCTTAGATACAGCACGGACAACACCAACGCAGTCATACTTGATGGAGAAACTCTGGAAGAGGTGGAAACATTCACTTACCTGAGAAGCATCGTTAATAAAAAAGGAGGATCAGATGTAGATGCAAAGACGAGGATTAGCATAGCGAGGACCACATTTCTACAATTGAAGAACATTTGAAACTCAAAACAACTGTCAACTAATTTCTAAGTGGGAATCTTCAATACGAACGTCAAGACAGTCAGTCCTACTGTAAGGAGATGAAAAGTGGAGAACTACTACACCCATCGTCAAGAAGGTTCAAGTATTTATAGATATTTGTCTATGTAAATGACTCAACATTCATTGATCGGATACTATCAGCAACAGCGTTCTATGGGATAGGACAAACCAGCTTTCAGCTGAAGAGGAAATTAGGAAAAGACGTTGGAAGTGGATCAGACATATATTGAGGAAATCGCAAACCTTCATCACGAGGTAATCGCTAACTTGGAATGGTGAAGGGAGGCAGAAAAGAGGAAGTCCGAAGAACACATTATGCCGGGAAATAGAAGCATATATGAATAGGATGAATAATAACTGGAAGGAACTGGAAAGGATTGTTTGGGACAGAGTTGGATGTAGAATGATGGTGTGCTGCCTATGCTCCTCCACGAGGGGCGTAAGTAAGTAAATGGATAACAAAAGAATTCAGGTTGATAAATTCCATAGAACCCTGATGGAAAAATCAAAAAATGAAGTATCATGAGAATAACATGGATTTTTGTTAACAAAAGAAAATATATGATAGTTAATGAGCTGTCTGAATTTCCAAAGATAAAAGTAGGTAAGTTTTGAAATTTGTGGAACATTTCGAGTCAGGATGTATAAATTCTGTTTTTAGTATCCTTTTAACTCGATACAGAAAAGTTTAATATATCTGTTGTTCTGAGGCAGTCTATCAATGTCTTTATCATAGGATGCCCTATTTATGATGAGGTAATTTTAAAGTTTCTTTTTCAAGATTTCGACGTTTTAGCCACTCCTACAATCGTCAAGGCGGATTATGATCTTACATAATTAACACATGATCAAATAATATTTATTATGTAGCAAAATCCATAACAAAGTGATTTCGAGTTGATAGAAAAACAGTATCGATTTCGTCAGAGTTCGACGAAAATTTCATTCATAAATCCTTTTCTTAGAGACTGGTTAATTCGTATTCAATTGCAAATCTCATAAAATAATGTATAGTTAAAGTAATTTACTCGGAACTTGAGAACAATTATGATATCATAGTGTCATACTTACACGAATTCCCATATTTATATGATAAATTTCATAACGATACCACTGCACATATCTCTATTGCCAATAGATTAATGGTGTTTCAGGGAAATAAGATGTTGAGATAATATGTACCAACTAAAAATACTTGATTGATGAAAGGAATGTAGACATGATTTTCTTTATTTAATAAGACATATCCATCCTTGTTTTATTTAAATAACTTTTTTTAAACTAAAAACGAATGCACATTAAAGAATTTTTTAAAATTTTATTCAGGAGCCTTTCTTATACCTTACTTCGTCAGTGTGATCCTGGCAGGTGTACCATTATTTCTTCTTGAAGTTGCTTTGGGTCAGTTTATGTCTAAAGGAGCCATTGCAGCCTGGGATATTTGTCCACTTTTCAGAGGTATGTGTGCTACCACTTAGGAAATATCCTTAATTTACTTTAACTGCCTAACTAAATTCCCCTGTTTTTTTACTTTACAGGTATTGGATGTGCTAGTACTATGATAAATTTTCTGGTGAACAGTTACTACACAGTGATTCTGGGCTGGGCATTTCATTTTATTTTCGCTTCTTTCAGTAAAGAACTTCCATGGGCTAAATGTGGACATTCCTGGAATACTAAATCATGTATTGATGGTGTAATCAGAACAAATTTAAGCAATTCAACATCACTTCTCCGTCAACATATTTTGGGAACCGATCCTGCTTCAGAGTACTGGGAGTGAGTTCGTATACTCCGAAACTCTCTTCATGGGGCTCAATTAGTCGTTTTGTATTCTACACGACTAAATTACGTGTTTACTCATATGGTGCAGCTAATGATTTAATCAAATGCTGCTTGGTAAGCACTTATCAGGAACTTGTAATAAACGGTTCCCAGTGCTACCATACTAACGATCTTCTTAGCTTAACATATTATTTTTATTAGTTACTTTGATCCTATAAATATTAATTTTTATTTTAAAGATTTAGTGAAACATTCACTATAAATTAATCAACGAACTTATCGCTTTCACTTGTGAAAGTACGTGTTAATATTACTTACTTACTTACTTACGCCTGTTACCCCTCGTCGAGGAGCATAGGCCGCTCACCAGCATTCTCCATCCAACTCTGTCCTGAGCCTTCCTTTCCAGTTCTTTCCAGTTACTATTCATCCTTTTCATATCGGCTTCTATTTCCCGGCGTAGTGTGTTCTTTGGCCTTCCTCTTTTCCGCTTCCCTTCACCATTCCAAGTTAGGGATTGAGTCGTGATGCACATTGGTGATTTCCTCAATGTATGTCCGATCCACTTCCAACGTCTTTTCCTAATTTCCTCTTCAGCTGGAAGCTGGTTTGTCCTCTCCCATAAAACGCTGTTGCTGATAGTATCCGGCCAATGGATGTTGAGTATTTTGCGTAGACAACTGTTTATAAATACTTGTACCTTCCTGATGATGGCCGTAGTAGTTCTCCACGTTTCAGCTTCATACAGTAGGACTGTCTTGACGTTCGTATTGAAGATTCCCACTTAGAAACTAGTTGAGAGTTGTTTTGAGTTCCATATGTTCTTCAATTGTAGAAATGCTGCCCTTGCTTTGCCAATCCTTGCCTTTACATGTGCATCCGATCCTCCTTGTTTATCAACGATGCTCCCCAGGTACTTGAATGTTTCCACCTCTTCCAGAGTTTCGCCATCAAGTGTGATTGGGTCGGTGTTCTCCGTGTTGCATTTGAGAATCTTGCTTTTTCCTTTGTGAATGTGGAGACCTATCGATGCGGAGGCTGCTGCTACATTTGCTGTCTTCATCTGCATTTGGTCGTGTGTATGAGAGAGGAGGGCTAGATCATCTGCGAAGTCCAAATCATCTAATTGATTCTGAGCTGTCCATTGTATTAATATTAAGTGGGTTATATGACATTGTAAACAAATTGTCTCAATTGAATAAAATAAAGAACTAATCGAAATGTCACTAAAATGTCTGTACAAATATCTTCCGTTAAATAGTACTTCACTCCAAACTATTAAGTACTGAATTCGCTACCTTTCTTACATCTTTCAGTAGATCAATTCTATGAAATTCAACAAAAAGCTTCAGATGATTTAAGGAAATCAGCATTTAGATGTAGTTCATTGGAATGCGTTTATTTAAGAAGACTTTCTCCTTAGTTTGGCAGAGGTACGACAACTAAACAGGCTTAAATTCAGAATATAATAGTTTTGAAGTTAATCGTCAGTTTTTAGCTCAATGAAGTTATTTTGATGTAAAAGGATCAAGTAAACGGTACGTTATGAAATCTCCGAGAAGTAAAACGTAGGTATTATTTGAACTGCAATACATCAGAAATCTAATATGTTATTGAAATTAATAAATTCACCTAGAAGTAGGTGTTGGTAACTACCAAAACCGATTATTATAAAGCTTTTACTCTTAAAAAGATGGTTACTGTACTCGCATTTCAGTGTGAAAATCAACATTGAGGTATAGATACATTTAGGTGAGAAGTCTCAAATAACATGAAATTGTACTTCTAACCATTTACATAATACGAACCTTTAAACGTTGATAATATTCATTTAACCACCTGTAAACTTTAACTAGCAGAAATTCACTAGCTATATTCATGTATAAACAAAGGTGGACAGTGGTTAGCAGTGGAATTCAGGACGCGTGTTTCGTCCTATTTGGTACTCGTCAGCTGGATGTACCTGCATCTCAGAGTTGATATTCACTCCGAGACTGGAACCCAGTACCTTTCGCTTCAAACACCATTACGTTATCCACTTAGCTATTGAGTCCTGGTAGTTGAGTAGCTAAGTGGGTAACGTGTTGGTGTTTGAAGTGAACGGTACTGGGTTCGAGTCTCGGAGTGTACATCAACTTCGAAATGCATGCACATTCATAGATAGGACGAAATGTGTGTCCTAAATTCCACTGCTAGCCACCATCCATCTTTGCCTTTATTGCTTGTGAATTAAGGCTATATCGAGGCAATACGCACAGTATGCACATATGCCTATTAGAGACTGACCAGTTGCAGTCTTAAACATCAATGGGAAGATTCAAACAAACAATACTAAGTGTATGTTCATGTATATTAACATTTGATCTCTTTGAAATTAATCTTTGAAAAAATAGAGTTCTTTATCATTTTCTCTGTAACAAATTGGACTTACATATACAGATAAGAAATCATTCATACGTTACTGATTGTTTTCATAAAACATTGTGAATCGGTTTTACTCACCAAGTTTTCATTCATTACAATATGAATCTGATTATTGTTCGAAGCTCACTATACATACATAATCAGTTCAAATTAAACATTAAATCTTATCTTCACAGATGATAAATTTAATGAGATTCTATTGATTCCCAATATTAACGAATACTTTTTATTTGGACTATACAGTTAGAAACTAAAATATATCACAATTAGTTTATTGAGACTATTTTTTATCTATCCGAAGTTTCAACTTCAGCATGAAATTCATCGAATGTATTTTGATAAATATATCGGTCCAAAAAACAAAGAGAAAGACACTTACTTACTTACTTACTTACGCCTGTTACCCCTCGTCGAGGAGCATAGGCCGCTCACCAGCATTCTCCATCCAACTCTGTCCTGAGCCTTCCTTTCCAGTTCTTTCCAGTTACTATTCATCCTTTTCATATCGGCTTCTATTTCCCGGCGTAGTGTGTTCTTTGGCCTTCCTCTTTTCCGCTTCCCTTCACCATTCCAAGTTAGGGATTGAGTCGTGATGCACATTGGTGATTTCCTCAATGTATGTCCGATCCACTTCCAACGTCTTTTCCTAATTTCCTCTTCAGCTGGAAGCTGGTTTGTCCTCTCCCATAAAACGCTGTTGCTGATAGTATCCGGCCAATGGATGTTGAGTATTTTGCGTAGACAACTGTTTATAAATACTTGTACCTTCCTGATGATGGCCGTAGTAGTTCTCCACGTTTCAGCTCCATGCAGTAGGACTGTCTTGACGTTCGTATTAAAGATTCTCACCTTGAAATTGGTTGAGAGTTGTTTTGAGTTCCATATGTTCTTCAATTGTAGAAATGATGCCCTTGCTTTGCCAATCCTTGCCTTTACATGTGCATCCGATCCTCCTTGTTTATCAACGATGCTCCCCAGGTACTTGAATGTTTCCACCTCTTCCAGAGTTTCGCCATCAAGTGTGATTGGGTCGGTGTTCTCCTTGTTGCATTTGAGAATCTTGCTTTTTCCTTTGTGAATGTGGAGGCCTATCGATGCGGAGGCTGCTGCTACATTTGCTGTCTTCATCTGCATTTGGTCGTGTGTATGAGAGAGGAGGGCTCGGTCATCTGCGAAGTCCAAATCATCTAATTGATTCTGAGAAGTCCATTGTATTCCGTATTTCCCTTCAGATGTCGAATTCGTCATAATCCAGTCAATCACTAGAAGGAAGAGAAATGGGGAGAGTAGACAGCCTTGTCTGACTCCGGTCCTTACTGGAAATGCATCTGTCAGCTGTCCTCCATGCACCACTTTGCACTGTAGGCCATCGTATGACTTTTGGATAATGTTGACGATCTTCTGAGGAACTCCATAGTGTCGAAGAAGTTTCCACAATGTTCTCCTATCCACGCTGTCAAACGCCTAAAGAGAAAGACAAATAACTTAAAATGTCAATAAATTAAGTGTAATATATGATACTAGATAGAGTTTATTGTATGAACTTATTCCTAACAGATATTAACAAGAAATCACAGATTACTTGAAGTGAAACTTCATCAGTTGAGATTGCTAGAACACGTTTTACGTATGCCCAACCACCGACTACCCCAATGAGCGATGTTTTATGGTGTAGGAGTAGGTTGGAAGAAAGCTAGGGGCGGCCAGACGAAAACGTGACACAAATACATGAAGTTCGTGACAAGTGGACTGAGCCGTGCTGGTAGGTGTAGACTACCTGGTTGGGATTCGCGAGATGATAGCAATCGATGATTAGAGACCTTGAATGACATGGCTCAAAATCTTTTGCAATGGCGAAGGTGCATCTACTCTTTGTGTTCTACCAAATTCTAATCTTCTGGATTCTTCGTGTCTCTATCATTTTTCTCTTTCCAAATTTATTTCACTGGATTATACCCCTTCAATAACATCTTCAAACCCTAATCTTTCCGATTACTGCTTATGCTCTTTCTACTTCTACCACTATGGGATTTGAATGAACAACTGTGTTAATTTGGTATGGCAACTCGAACTGATGTACGTACGTACGAAGTTCTACGTTGTAACTGACTGACTGACTGATAGAAGCAAGTGAAATTGATACAATGATATACGATTTATGATTACCGTAAATATATAAAGATAAGATGTACAACTATCATCCCACCTATTAACTAATTGGTAGATTCTAAAACGTAAATCAAATACCAATGTGACCTTAAAGTGCATGGCAGCCGTAGCAATATGGAGCATTGCAGGTATCTTTACCAAAGTTTGACTTGATACCCGACAGTTGCTGATACCTTGACGTGGTGGTCGGGCTTGCCAATCGTGATGAATACTGGCTGGAACAATCGATCCTCGAGGTCCTACCATGCCAGGCAGGTCGTTTGAAGAGCGGTGAGACTAAAAGCAGCAAACCCACTGTTCGAAGGCTAAGTCGTACTGCCGTCTGTACAGAGGTGTGACAGCAGTAAGGTGTTTCCTTCAGACAACCAGCATGACAGCGATGCTGCCTTCCCACAAGGAGGGGTGGGGTTAGAAAAGGTCGACCCTAAAAATGCACACCTCTCCTTATCTTACGGATTTGATCTTCCTACTTCTGCCACTATGGGATTTGAATCGACAACTGCGTACGAAGTTCTAAGTTGGGACTGACTGAATAAAATGAAAAGTTACCAATTTTGTCACATCTCATTGTAATTGTGTGTAAATAGAAATCGTATATAAATAGTTTATTGTCTATATGTATAAAATTAAGCTTAGAAATAGCCTTTTTTATGAGACTAATATATATATATATATATATATATATATATATATATATATATATATATATATATATATATATATATATATATATATATATATATTGCATTTCACGGTTGTATACCATATAATTTTAGGACTATGCATTTCAAATGATTTATTTAATAGCTTTTATAAAAACAAAATGTTGAGTTAACAAACTTGGAAAATGTTAGGTAATAAATAATGCGAAGTATTGAACCTATGCTCCCCATCCAAAATATTCCTCGTGTATTAATATAATTGATGTTCCCCATGACGTTTAAACTTTGATCATTCTATTTCGGAGACGTTAGCGCTAGGTTATTAGAGCTGTGAATAACTATTCGCATGATTGTGATATATCCATTTATTGATCATTGAATAATGGTTAATATTATGTTTCTGTAGTCCATAGTGCTGACGGAAAATCACTGAAATATGGCTACTAATCTAAGTAACTCAACATAACGCAGACTAAGTTTTGATGTTAACTGGTTGAAATAGTGATGAACTATCTACTTTCAAGTTGAAGTTAACCGTAATATGGAGTACAAATAAACCACTAGGACGGTTAAATCATGTTTGATAATTTTATTAAAACAAAAGTTGATTAGTTAAATACGGATGGTGGCCAGTAATGAAATCCAGGACGCGCGTTTTGCCCTATTCGGGACTCGTCAGCTGGATAAACCTGCATCTCAGAGTTGATGTTCACTCTGTGACTCGAACCCAGTGCCATTCGCTCCGAACGCAATCTCATTATCCACTTCGATACTGAGTCCTAATAGTCACCTGCTTGTGCAATTGTTTTTTTAAATTACGTGTCCTATCTGATCTTAAGTAATTATTTAATTTAAACGAAGCAAGAACGACATTTTTCTCAGAATGAGATGAATTTATTGTATTTTGTTACTTGCTCCTTAGCTATGCATCAGTTTGTGTATATCTTAAGAACAAACAACGGAATACAATGAATTCATCGTACACTGAAATTATTGATATTCTTGCTTTGTTTAAATGTTTGAAGGGAACCAATTGTATGAATTCCTTAATCGATATTTATTCGTGAAAAGTCTACATTATGGTTTCCTAGTATTTATCTTCTGAAAATAACGTTTAGTTGTTTGTAGAGGCTTATTACTTAAACAAAGTATACGTTTACATACGAACTTATTTATCGTTTGACACAAAGAAGCAATGAAAACAGGAATTGAGATCTTGAACCAGTTAATATTAGATCACCACGGAAAACGTGGAAGCACTGCACAACCATTTCGTCCTAGTACAGGACTCCTCAACAGTGCGCAACCACGAACGCATAAGCGGGTTCAAACCTTGGACTTTCGGTCTCGCACACAAACGTTTAATCTCCAGACTAATGAGCCTGTATTCAGTAGTGATAATGTTTAAATCCAACCAATTCACACTATTAAGCGACTTAGTGGTCTAGAGGTTAGGGGTTCGCGAGCAAGGCCAAAGGTTCTGAGTTCAAATTCCGAGTGCGGAATCGTGATTTTGCACTGATGAGGAGTCCAATACTAGAACGAAAAGGTCATTCAGTGCTTTCAGGTTTTCCGTGATGTTCTAACATTTACTGGTTTATTATCTCAATTAAAATTTAACAATTTTCACAACTCTATACTGAAAATATAAATAAACAGTGATGATTTAATAATCATTGACTTCCAAATGTATTTAAATGTATACTAAATACACAATAGTAATAATAATAAGCAATTGATTCAATAATTGCTACTTTTATTATTATATTCATCTAAAAATGTTTTTTTTTTATTTTAATCTTAGAAATCGTGTCTTACGAATATCAAATGGTATTGATAATTTGGGAACAGTTCAATGGGATTTAGCATTGTGCCTTTTATTAGCTTGGACAATAATATTCTTAGCAATTTGTAGAGGAATTAAAACATCCGGAAAAGTAAGTTTACAAATTTATTAAGATGATTATATATATATATATATATATATATATATATATATATATATATATATATATATACTTATTTATTTAAACACATAAATATTGGTACAAAGGGGAATCAGATATATATGCGCCACACAAATCTCACTTGATTTGTGTGAGGGCTGTGATACTGCCCAGGTGCCCAAACTGAAGCAAGTAGTTTTCTTAGTGAGTCACATCCCGAACCTTTGAATTAAAAGTCTGATCCACAAGACAGTGGAGCATCGTGAGCAGATGCAGTCCCATGATAACCGGTGACCAACGATTGATTCATACGCCATTTGTTCCATTAGGATACTGGAGCCTATGTGCACCATTGGTTTGGAATCAGGGTTTTCCAACTCCCTCAGATAGACTCGCCGCGTCCACTAATATGGTTAAATCGCCGGACATTCGCTTTTCGTTTTCTCAATTTCGTGAACAACAGTAATGCCACGAGAAGGCAGTGGGTAGGACTTCCCTGTCAGAGACTATATACTTGTGGCCATATGAGAGCATTTGGAGAGGGCGAGCGGACTCTCTCCACTCTCGGCCGTACCAGGGCATTTATAGATATGTTTATAAATTAATAAGTAGTTTATATTTTAATATAATCAAAGGAGATTAATTGATATAGATTAACACTGATAACATATCAATCAATGATAAATATGAATATTTCTTTTCCTTATTATTAATTTATTACTTTAATGAGTAGTAGAATATCAAATGTTTAATTAATAACTAGGAAGAAATATTATTCAGCATAAAAAATATCATACCTTATCAACATTTTTAATCAACGTAAAATTACAATGAAAGAATAATGAAATCAGCTTTCTCAGTCATTTTAATGATAGAATAAAGTAATTATTGGAACGTGTAAACTTTCATATATAGTTGAAATCATGACTCAATTGAAGCTAGACCACAATGGAAAACCTGGAAGCATTGGACGGCCGTTTCGTCCTATTGTGGGACTCCTCAGCCGTGCGCATCCACGATCCCGCTTCGCGAGATTCGAACCCAGGACCTACCAGTCTTGCGCCAGAGCACTTTACCGATAGACCACTGAGCCAGCATCTAACGGTGTTGATGTTTAACTTCAACCAATCCACCAAACCACGTTAAATTTTTACCCCACAGATGTATGATATATTAGTCATAAAGATAGATGATATAATATGGAGTGACTTCTATTAAAAAAGGTGATTTTCTATAATTATTTAAAAAGGATAATGAACTAAATGTACCGTTTGTTAATATTTGGGCAAATAATGTAATACAGAATTCTCCAGCACAATTGAAACTTTAATGTATGGCAATAATCTGATAGAATCTAATATTTTATGATTTCTGAGTTCCAATTGTTTTGTTTCAATAATGTTGTTCATATCATCCTGTATGGTTTATTAACATTTGTGATTCATCTATTAAATAAGTAAAATAGATTTCATGGTGTGGTTTAATCCAAAACATTACCAAGCCACATATTTGTAAATAAGTAGTGTAAAACATTTCGTTATTGAAGACCCTTATTAACATAGAACATTGACAGACGGTATCGTGTGTTTGGGCACAGAGACAACAATCCAATTGGTGTCACCATCTTGAAACTCCGACTTCGGTGGCTTGGACATGTTCTGCGAATGTCATTCCAGAGAATTCCACGTCGTGCATTATTTGCCGACGCTGGGACTGGTTGGAAAAAGAGGAGAGGTGGTCAGTGTATGACATGGTGTCGTGATATGAAAGAAACCTGCAAAGGGCTGGCTTCTGTTGGTCCTTCATGACTCGCTGGTTGGGATCCCAAAGATGGTGCAATACAGTGGCTAGAGACGTTATCAGATATGGCTCAGAATAGAAGCCAGTGGCGATCCTGCTGTAACCTTCTTCCACTTTCTTCATAAAGAGTGGTTATAACCTCTTTAACTGAAAGAGTTCTTCTGATTGTACATCTCAGTTTCCCTCATCATTAACTCTTTTTTCTTCCCGTTCTCATTGTTTTGTGTGGCGCATATATATCTGGTGCCCTTACTTACTTAATTACTTACGCCTGTTACTCCCAATGGAGCATAGGCCACCGACGAGCTTTCTCCAACTCACTCTATCCTGGCCTTCCTTTTTAGTTCTATAAATTTATTGTTCATTCTTCTCATGTCTGTCTCCATTTCTCGGCGTAATGTGTTCTTTGGTATTCCTCGTCTCCTTTGGCCTTGAGGATCCTATGTGAGGACTTGTCTTGTGACACAATTGGGTGATTTCCTCAAAGTGTGCCCAATCCACTTCCAGCGCATCTTCCTGATTTCTTCCTCCACTGGATGGAATCTGGTTTGTTCTCTCCCACAGTAACTTATTGCTGATAGTGTCTGGCCATCGGATCTGAAGTATCTTGCGTAGACAGCTGTTAATAAACACTTGTATCTTCTGGATAATGGCTTTCGTATAACTGATGCCCCCTTGTACCAATATTTATGTGTTTAAATAAATAATAATAATAATTGACAGATTGATTCATATTAACATTCATTTTGAAAGAGATAAGTCTAACCAAATGATAAAAGTAGAAGTCTAATAATCCAGGGTACAAAGTATAAAGAGTTAATCTTCTTAGAAGTATAAATTGGAGTTTCATAAATTTTTTATTTCATCTACTTTCGGTTATTCTGTTAACAGGTTTATGATTAGTGAATAGCTGATTGATATAATTTGTCAATGAATTGTACTTTTACACATTTTATATGTTCTAATTATGAACCACAAAGCTGATTGGTATGTCCTAGGATTAGGTATATGTTCAGACAAAATTATGTTAAAAACATTTAGAATTGTCGAGTTTGAGCTAGAAAAAGAAAGTAGTGATAAAGGAAATCAAGGGTAATTTCACTGCTTCCAGACACAAAGTAATTCCTCATTCATGTGATAGTGTACTAAGATAGTATTCAGTTATTCGTTTGGGACTGTTTATAAATGTTTTAGTAATAATCGTGTTGATTAAGCTTTCTTTTTAACATGATTTGCATAACAGTATAAGTAAACGTAATCTTTGTAAATGAACTTTGGCTTGTATTCAGTTTAGTTATATCAGCAAAAGTCCAATAATAAAGGGTGGCTAATTGTTAAAATTTATATTCATTATACTGCTTAAATATGTTCACTGTTATTTTTCGAGTAATCATTTATGGTTCGCCTTAGTTGTGCTGAAGCCTGCTCATTTTTTCTAGAGCAACAGTAACATGAGTCAATATACTAAGCTTCAATAACAATAACAATAGTATTCTCTACAGATAGATGTAGTTTAGGAATCAAAAATCAATAAACGCGTAATGTTAATACTACAACAACGGAAGGAATACATTATTTCAATTACATAAAGATTTAATTGTATACAAAAATTGTAGGTTCATAAATTCGTTGACAATAAACTCATAGATCAGAAGGGGTGTTGTGGAGATTTCAGTATTTCCATTGTTGAAATAATTAGTCAATTGAAGCTAGACCACCATGGAAAATCTGAAAGCATTCGACGGCCGTTTCGTCCTATTATGGGACGCCTCAGCCGTGCGCATCCACCATCCCGCCTCACGAGATTCGAATCCAGGACCTACCAGTCTCGCGCCAGAGCACTTAACCGATAGATCACTGAGCCGGTATCCAACATTGTTAATGTCTGACCTCAACCAATCCACGGTGTTTTTGAGCAACCGTTCACCAATTGTCTTCAGTGAGTTGATATCTCTACAACAGACTTGGTTGAATTCCACTGGTCACTGCTTCCCACTAGAAGAATCTCGCGAGTTCGAGATAGTGGATGCGCACTGCTGGGAAGTCCCATAGTAGGACGAAACGGCCGTCGAGTGCTTCCAGGTTTTCCATTGTGGTCTAGCTTCACTTGACTCATGATTTCAAATATGGGAATAAACTAATAGTTAGTGTAGAGTTATCCAACGATTAGAAACTGAAGATTTAAAACTAATTCATTTTAATGTTGTAAACGGGAAAAACACATCAGATATAACGTCAAGCATATTAGTTAAGATTGATGAACTGGTGTAGCGTAATTAATAATAATTGATTACATAATCAAAATACTAATAATAAACGTATTAGGTAATTACGACAAAACCAACTTGGTGAATAGGTATCAATGTAGATTATTTATTATTTATTTAGTACAAAGAGGCACCAGATATATATGCACCACACAAATCTCACTTGATTTGTGTGAGGGCTGTGATACTGCCCAGTTGCTCAAAGTGAAGCAGGTGGTTTCATTAGGGGGCCACACTAGGAGCCTTTGACCTAAAATTCTAATCCACAAGGCAGTGGAGCATCGTGAGCAGATGCAGTCACATGGTAGATGGTGACCAACGATTGATTCATACACCATTTATTACTTCAGATTATTGGAGCCCATGTACACCATTGGTTTGGAACCAAGGTTTTCCAACTCCCCTAGGTGGACTCGTCGTGTACACCAACCCGATCGTAGCACCGGACATTCTCTTTTCGTCCTCTCAATTTCGTAAACAACAGTAATGACACGAGAAGGCAGTAAGTAGGATAATGAAAAGCATAAGATTACGCAACAGATATAACTACTTAATTCGAGTTAACTATAAAACAACAACGAAAGTTACTAAACATTACTTCTGTAGACACTAGTAATATTGAAAGTAACCGATGGTCTTAATTTATGCAGAGGAATGTAAAAGTGGTTTTCCTTTTTTTTTCTATTGCATATTCAGAAACCACATTTTCTATTAGATATAGTTTTATCCGTTGTTAAATAACTCAAAGATTTTTATGTAACGTTAAAATGAATTAATTTTTTATAATTTATTCCTGGAAAGATTGATTATCTGATAAATATCTTTCTATTCACTTCATTTCCACTTTAGATTATGTATATAACAGCAACTACACCATATATATTCATGATTACATTACTTATAAGAACAGTTCAGTTAGAAGGAGCATTAAATGGTATAACTTATTATTTAAAACCAGACTGGGATAAATTAACAGATATGACAGTAAGTAATATTTTTCACATTAAGGATGTACATATGTAAAAAATAATTTTGTTAATTTCCTGCTTTTTTTCATTTCAGTAAACAGACAGAACAAATTAATGAGATGTTCTCAAAATAATGACTTTAATTTTGTTACTGACATATTTCCTGCTCCAACAACTTACCAAAAGTCGCATAAATTAGGGAGAAAAAAAAACAGAATTCATTGTGAACAAAGATGGATGGTGGCTAGCAATGGAATCCAGGACCCGCATTTCGTCCTATTCGGGACTCGTCAGATGGATGTACCTCGAGGCAATACTGTAGTGCCGCAATTCGTTAATCGTTCGTTTTGATAATCGATATAATTCTAATCTTAACGGCGCGTAAAATCAGAAGACAAAGGATAGCAGCAACTACAGTTTATTGTCGAATAACGTAGGCTAGAAGGCAGTGAGCACATGAGAAATGTTAGCGAGCGAAGTAAAGATGATGCATAGTGGAGATTGGCGGGGAAGCCAACTCGATTTAAGCAAGCGTTAATCAACATTTATAGTCAGACAAAAATGAGTGACAGGCATATGATGAATAAGATACGAAGTGTACACATATATGCTCATATAAAAGTATAGTCAATGTTAATAAGCAAATGATTAACAAGATCAAAATATGACTCATAATGGATAGGCGAATTGGCTTGGCCAGCAACTAGAATAAAGTATATGGGCTTAACATATAAACTGATACTACATAGCACATTTATAAAAAAAATGTCTGTTTTCGAAAAATGACACTGAAGCGGTATGTAGAAAACGTTAAAATGTTGGAAAAAATGGTACAATACCTGATAAATTACAGTGTCATGTGAGGTGAGCGTATTAAACGAGTGTCATACTTATGTAAAAATGTTCATGAATATTGTCAAAGTGCGAACAAAAATTGAAATGCTAGGATGTGATTATGAGTACATTAGTAAGCGTACAAAAAAAAATTTAACATGCATATATGTCATGAATGTCTGAATGATAAAATAACATATTCATATGAGCGATTCGAAATATCGTAAAAATAGAACAATAAATCGTTAATAGGTATGACGGCGGAATAAATCGTGGAAATAAGTAATGTATAATATAGTAGAAATTGGTCTATGGTGCCGACTGAATATGGCGATAAAGAACAGTGAAATATGTTCTGATAAGCCACAGTAGAGTAAATAGCGTCGATCAGCGATTAGTAGATTTGAATTCGCATACCTGGAGTTCGTGTGTGGTAAAAATAATCGAGTTGTAGGATGATGACTGCATCAACGGTTGATATTCATTGCTATACTGATAATGATAATGATAATAAAATGCGAAGTCGGTGTGCGTTGTCACTTGCGTTGAGTTATCGTTAAATATGTATTAGTAGAATGACCAGAGGAACAGGATAGTGACTGCTGAAACGAGATATGCGGAGTCGTATTCCTTTATGGTCATGCAGCCTATCGTGGTTTGTGTAGTTAGAGGGATATGCGCTCAACCTCGTTTGTTACGAAACCGTATTAAGGCATAACAAAAATACCAATACATATGATTATCGATGACGGCAAGTGAGACTGACTTGGATGCGACGAACAAGAGTGTATCTTTGAGAGACCAGCTCTAAACTCTATGTTCTTGTATACCATGCAATGGAAATAGAATACTAATTGCAGTAACCAAATATTTTTGATGCGTAATAGATGATGCAGCATTCAGATTTACATGTCGATGAATAGATAATATGAACATAATCATTACTAATCGGCTGGTAATACGGCGTCGAATACTTGATTTGTGTATAGACATTAGAGTAGGGATCATCGTAAAACAAAAATTGCGAAAGTTCGGTTTAGGTTGTCGCTGAAAGTATAAAAAATGACGATTGCTGCGTACCAATGTGATGAATGGACATTAGTGGTATCGAGAACACAAGTTCCTACTATCGGCAGTATGACTCCAAACTTATGTCTATGATAGATTGTAATGTTAGACCGAAAATGACATGAAAAAGATTGGAACGAACTCACCCGAATCAGGAAAAATTTTCGTCATTGGATAATAAAAATAATCCAGTGAGTTTCGAATATCATAACGTGTAATGTCCATATAATTATAATTTGTTCGATTAGTGATTCGACTGCGAAAATGTCATATTTTATCGTCCTTACGAACAAAAATAATAATTCCACGTTAGATGATGATATGACATTATTGTAATAATGAGCATGTGATGATTATTCGAATCGTAACGGAATATGTCGTCGGCGGTTCCATTTTTGATATGTGTTCGCTCGTTGTGGTCGCCAATTCCGCTGCGTGTTCCAAATACGGCTTGCCAATTATGTTGTAAGTTCGTACGTAGAGGTTGTCGATTCTGGTTCGTGTTCGTTCGGCGAGGCATTTAATTCTGTTGTGGCGTAAATCTGATTCCTTTTTGATCGTATGAATGATTGTTTGTTGTCAAAATATACGTACTATGTATCCTCGTATGTAATAAATGACTTTATTCCGCGTTGGTGAACAACGTAGTTAAATACGTCAAATACGAGAATGGATTTAGAATACATATAATTTCTACACTCATTGGTCTGGCCAGGGAATCAGAGTGATGAGGCAAATAGATGAGAGCGGAACGAAGCAAACATCATGCGCAATAGAGATGGCTGGGAATCCAATTCGATTTAAGCAAGCGTTAATCAACATTTATAGTCAGACAAAATTGAGTGACAGGCATATGATGAATAAGATACGAAGTGTACACATATATGCTCATATAAAAGTATAGTCAATGTTAATAAGCAAATGATTAACAAGATCAAAATATGACTCATAATGGATAGGCGAATTGGCTTGGCCAGCAACTAGAATAAAGTATATGGGCTTAACATATAAACTGATACTACAATACTGAGGCTATCCGCACAGCATGCACATATGTTAATAAAAGACTGATCAATAACAGACCTAAAGACCAATATTTTGGTTTACAACCGGTGCAAAGTTATGTTAGTTACAACAAACCTATAGTTCTTAATGATAAATCCAAAATAAACTATGTAAACAAATTGATTCAAATTTATACATTGTATTCTCTCACTTCCTAATAAAAGCAAATGTCAGTTTATTCTTTAAGATATCACACTTTTCTTCTTATACTTATGAATCCATTATTGATTATATAATAATATGCTCTTGTATGGTCTGAATTATCCAGAACAATAGCTTTATTAAAACAATTTGTAGAATATGCAAACATTTTTGGTTATAGAGATGGATAGTGGCTAGCAGTGGAATTCAGGACGCGCGTCCAGCTGACGAGTCCCAAATAGGACGAAAAGCGCGTCCTGGATTCCACTGCTAGCCACTATCCATCTCTGCTAACCATGCTTGTGAATTAAGGTATATCGAGGCAATACGCACAGTATGCACATATACCAATTAGAGACTGACCAGTTGCAGTCCTAACAAATCGATGGGAAGATTCAAACAAACAATACTAAGTTGAATTTTTGGCTATAATTTTTTTCAAAGTATATGTATTTTATGGAACAATATGTAAATATTTCTTTTCTTGGAAATAACATGTAAACAACCATTTAGTCCATGTAACTGAAGAAGCTTACAGTATTACCAAAGACCTAAACAAGAAGTTTCAGGACTCATATCAAATTCATTTGGATCCATTAAAAAAAATAAACAATAGTTTAAATACAAGTACTTAATCGCATTCAGATTAAATTTCTCTTAATCAACAATAAATTCAAAATGTTAGCTTTTTCGTGTTGACAAGATGGTCTGCTTAAACATCTGGGCTACCTGTTCCTGTTATCTAGATATTTCAACAAATTATCTAATTTTGTTTGTTTTAATACATCATTATGACTATTAATCGCATCACCTATTCAAGTGCGTTTCTGAAAAGTGTACAACCTTTCGCTGTAAAGGTTACAGAAGGCCTAATCAGAGATATTGTGGTTTCTGGTAATATACAGAGAAAAGAATGTACATTACTCAGATGTCGATTGACTGTACTGGTAACTTCTAACTGGTGATCACTCAATATTTATTGTCAGGATCAACTAAGGAGTAAGAAACAGAAACCTGTTGAAATACCTTGTGTTGAGAATTCTATATTATATCAAAAATATAATATTGTATAAAGCTAATAGTAATAGTAAGATATTTTACCCAAATTAACATTTCTTTTTTATTATTTCAACTAAATTGAAATTATATATACAAGAAAGGAAACATTTTTAATACTTGAATTCATGAGTTGATTAAAGCTAAGCCATCACGGAAAACTTAGATGCACTGGACGGCCATTTCATTCTATTATTGAACTCTTCAATAGTTCGCAAGATGGTGAAGGAATCCCATACTAAAACAAAACAACCATCCAGTGCTTCCAAATTTTCCATTATAGTTGAAAGCATGAATCAATTGAAGCTAGACCACCATGGAAAACCTGCAAGCACTCGATGACCTTGTCGTCCTATTATGAGACTCAGCATTGAGCATTCATGATCTTGCCTCGCGTGATTCAAACCCAGAACCTACCAGTTTCGCATTAGAGCATTTAACCGATAGACCACTATAATTAAGGTTTAATCAACTCATAAATTCAACTAGTAAATTATTACAATCTTCACAAAATCTCTCTTTTTGATAAAATTATGAAATCATTATTCATAATCTTAATAAATGATTTTAAAAAAAGTTGATCAATGTAATCATTCATTGTATATTGAACTATAATAATAAATAATCTAACAATTTAAAGATATTATTCATGAAATTGAACTCTTCATTATTGATTAATTAATTTTCTATAACTTGATAATGATAGAATACATCTTATAGATAGATAGATAGATAGATAGATAGATAGATAGATAGATAGATAGATTATCTAAGGTTGACTATTTGACTTTATTTTCCTTTTAAGAAAATATAAGAAGTAAGTTATAGTTAAATAATTAAGAAAATATATAA